AAAGACAAAAGGGACGCCCAAATGCCCTCCAGTCTGCTTGCGGCTTAAAGGACAAAGATGGGCATTTCCAGTTGTTGTGACTGACATGAGATTGGGGTCCCTGAAGGATGGACTGGGGCGCTAGGTTTCCTGTGTCCTGACCAGCTCCTTGGACAGGTCACGTGGTATGCCCCCATTCCAGTTTTCTTCCGTATCGACTTTTCAGAGAACTCTTCGTCATTGGGAAAGGGCATCTTCATCTTTCCTCTTTCCTTTGCCCCCCTGGCACCGTCTCAGCTGTGACAAGGAAGAGCGGTCTATAACAATAGGAATATCTGACCCCGTCTGCTGTGTGCCTCTGTATGTCTGCCTGAGCTCCAGCCACGCATTTCAGTGTCAACATTCCTCAGCTGAGGATACTGAGCCTCCTGGAAGTTACTATAGCAAACCTGCCCCAGGGTGGGCAGCATGGAGGCTCCACAGCTGGAATCTGACGCAAGTATGATCGATGCCCAATCCGATGTTTAACCAGTGCCCTAGCCCTGGCACTTAGGTTTGGAGAAGTAAGAGCCAGGCTACCGTATTCCACTTTCATCTTCTAACAAGTTTGTTTCTCTGATCCTGCCAACTGGGTGGAATTAAAGGAGCCGTGAGAACTCTGTAAAGCTTCCCAGCAGGGCGGAAAGCAATGGTCTCTAGAATTCTCACACTTGCGTTCAGACCCCTTTTCTTTCATCACGAGCCCTGGATGCTCTGGATGCCCTGAGTTGGTCCTTTCCCTTTCTGAGCTTTGATGTCACCGTCAGCTGATGACCAAGGAGCTCCACCCTACTTGGAGAGTAATCTAAACAAGTATTTCATATCCATCCTGCCCAGGCCCTATGCTGGGCAGTAAGGAGTCTTCTGTGAGGGAGACTGACGCAGCCCCTGTCCTTGTGTGGGCATAGTCCTAAAGCAGATTCTTAATAGCTGTGCAATAGTCTGTGACCTGCATAAGAAGACCTCAGGAGAAAGACAGCAGATGTCACAGCCCTGACGCAGAAGAGGGAAGAACAGTCAGTGACTAGGTGTCTACAAGGGTTGAGGAATCAGCAGGTTGCTTTGGAGCGCTCTCCAAAGTCCATAGAGACGGGTCCTTCTGCTCTGCACCTCCAGAGCCCAGGTTTCAGCCCAGCACGACCACAGGCCGCATTCTCATTGCCAAGCGTCGGTTCTTCTCACCAGGGGAAAGAATGAACGTGGCACAGCTCAGAAGCTGCCCCTTTAAGTCTTGCCCAGCTTCGGACCCTTTGCTAACCTTCTGCCTTCTCTGAAGCACGCTCTCTCCACCCCCTTTGCCCCCACTCTGGTCTATATAACAGGATAAGAGGAATCACACAAGCCACAAATCTGTTTTTCTTTAGAGAGTCTGAAACGTAAATATTCATGGGTGTTTGAGGGCCTAGTAGCAGGGAGGGGAGAGGAAAGAAAAAGCAAGCAAGAAAAAAATGGGTTAAAGCTCAGAATTTCGTGGAATTCGTATTTAATTTTCTTTGGGAGAAAGGAGATTTACTAAGTCAGAGATGAAAGGAAGTCTGCCCAGGCCCCCGAGAAGTTACATTCTGTGCTGGGTTTAGCTCTCTCACTGAATGGGGCTTGGAGATCAGAACGTTGTGGTTAGACAATTCATAAACGCAGCAGGCTTTGTTCAGATGCTGGCTCTTGACAGAGTACCAAGACCTCTGGAGCAGCAGCCCGGGCTGGGGAGCTATCTCGTCAGCACCCAGCCCTCAGACCCACCTCACCCTTGCCCCAGTTCCCTGGCCTGCCTCCTTCTCAGGCTGGAACAGAGTCCTGCTCGAACCTCATGAGTGAGTGCCTTGGATTCTGACCTATGCCCAGACATGTTTCCCTCCTCTCATTCTGGAATCTGATCTCACCCTAGTCCTGCTTTGGGTTGACTAATTCTGTTTTAGTACTGGCCCATTTGTAAAGACCAAGGCATGGCACGTGACCCTAGGGCATCGAAGTCCTGGGATTTTTGGTCTGTCACTTGTTTGTAGATCACTCATCTGAATATGTTTTCCCTTTGGAGTCTTAAAATTTCCCAGCTTTAATCTGAGAGTCACAGGATGTGAGGTAGACTGGGCAGGACAGAGGAAAGGCATCTCTTGAGACTCAGTTATCAACTGTAGATCACTTAGAGATCTGCTGGTTATCTTCCTCATTTTCTATCTCAGTTCTTATCTACCTGTCCAGGATGATTGTCATGAATTAAACTAATCAGAGTTTAACTCCAAACACCTGAGACGTGCAGTCTGCTGCAGTGGAGACTTGGTGAACACTGTCCTAAGACATGCAGTCTGCTGCAGCAGAGACTGTTGATGAACACTGTCCTAAGACATGCAGTCTGCTGCAGCAGAGACTGTTGATGAACACTGTCCTAAGACATGCAGTCTGCTGCAGCAGAGACTGTTGGTGGACACTGTCCTAAGACATGCAGTCTGTTGCAGTGAACACTGTCCTAAGACATGCAGTCTGCTGCAGCAGAGACTGTTGGTGGACACTGTCCTAAGACATGCAGTCTGTTGCAGTGGAGACTTGGTGGACACCGGCCTACATAACTTTCTGATTGAGTACAGTGACTGCAGCTAATCTTTCACCACCTGGAAACCTAGATTGAAAGAACAATGGAGTTCATTAATGATTACGAAAAAGGAATTTCAGATTCTTTTCCTATCCTATAGGCTAGATAGCGTTGTTCTTCATGACAGAGTTCTCCCTTCTTCCAAAAACAGCACGCAGCATCCCATGTCAAAACTATACCAGGACTAGCAAAAAGCTCTCATGTCTGCTGTGGGCTCTCCCCCTTTCCGAAGCAGGAGGTGCTGGATTCACATATTACTGAAATAAAACTACTGTCCTTTCTCGATCAGTTTTGACTGATGATACGTTCCCTGCCTCACTTGTCTCAGATATTTTTAAAAGTGGAACTTAAGTATGAAAGACGGCCACTGTCCCTAGAACTAATCACAATGCAAGACATACACGTGAAAAGGTTATGGAAAATATGCAAGGTAGTTAATGATTAAGAAAAAGGGATTTCAGATTCTTACTTCCCGCCCTACAGGCTAGATAAAGTTGTTCTTCATTATGAAATTCTCCCTTCTTCCAAAAGCATTTCTCCCCATTGGCAGCTAAGTACCTGTTAGCTGACCTGGACCTGGGAAGGCATCGTCCGATGCTGTGGACTTCTTCCCCCTGCCCTTCTCTCTCCATCACCCTTGTTTGTGCCCCTGTGCTGTTGAAGAGTGATTTCAAATACTTCATTACGATGAGCTGTTGAGTGGTGTCTCTCACACAGGCCCAAAGGCAAGTCAAACTGCAAAGGTACCTGTACTTTGGATTCTAGAATTTGACTGATCTGAAATCCCAGCCCCACTGTTATATAAAACTTTAGCCCATGCTCCAGAGCCTCTGTGTTACTCATCTGTGAAATGGGAATAATAAAACTATTTCACAGGTAAAGATGACATATTCACCCTTCTTCAGCTTGCCTCACTTGTCTTAGAGGGAGTCCAGTCATCTGTATAGGACACTCTTTGGAAGATTCTGGTCCGTCTGTCAACATTCAGTGGTGGTTTAGTGGCCCCATTTCACCAGAGAAAGCTCCAGAACTCAAGTTGCTGCCCTCACCCCATCTTTGCTCTGGTTTTACCTCATCCCAGGATCCCAGCACCTGTTGCCACATCATTCGGGCTCTATGCTGTACCCACATTCTCCCTGGGTTTGTTCAGTGTGTTGCCTTTGACTTTCAAGAAAAGCTGGTATCCATGCAGGGACCTGGAGAGGCAGATCCCATCACAGCCGACTGCCAGACAGATTCCACCTCTCCTCTTCTGCCCTGGAGGGAGAATGATAACAGGAGATTCACCCGACAGAACATCTCATGGCAGACAACTGCCCCAGATCCCTGCAGAGCTAAGAACAGCGAAACCCCAGGCTTCTGAGGACCTGGGGCATCATTATGTCACAACTCTACAGTGACCTGGAAGCTGGTGGTTACACCTGTCTTTTCTGGACAAGGACATTTTCCTTGTAACAGTGCCTGGATGCAGAGGGATGGGGTCAGCCCCATTTGTGAGCTCCTGCTATGTTCTAGGCACTATAGGAAGATCTTGCACGTTGTGACTACCCCCCCACACCCACCCACTGTGCAAGGAAAGCCTTGCTCTGACCCCTCCTTTAGAGCCGAGAAACCAAAGAGTAAATAACTGGGCCTGGTCATAGAGCTGGAAAAGAGAGCCAACCAGGAATTCAAACAAAGTCTGTTTAACTTTGAAGTCCATTACAGCTGGCTTCCCATTAAAGGCAGGGTAAATAGCAAGAGTGTAAGTAGCTTTTCAGAGGGAGAGGGGAAGTGGCCTTGCCATTCTGCTACCTGCTGCTTCCACCCAGCTGGAAGTTGTGGTCATCAGACAGGGAAATTGGAATGGCTCTTCCAGTCACCTGCCTTTCCCCCACCACGAAAACATAACCCCTCCAAGAGATGGAACCCAGTGATGGCGCGCGTGCCGTCTGTGAATTGTCCACCTTGGCGACAACACCTTGGGAAACACTTTCAATCACAATCTGCAAATGGGTAGCTTTGTGGGGTGTGTCTAATGTGGAGAGATGTTTTGTTTCAGTGGCAGGAATTTTCAGAACTTCAGATTAATTGTTAACCTTTTTCAAAGATAACGGGTTTACACAAAACTCCAAGTTTCCGAAATCACCTTGAAAAATCCAAAGTTCTGCTATCCCCGAGCCCCCAATCCCCTCTGGCCACTGGTCGCTGGAATGGAGTAGCCACCCACTTGGACCTGGAAGTGAAATGGTGCTTTTTAATCTGTCACAGTCCTTTTCCCCCTGGGTCCTGTGCAGTAAGGACTACCTTAGTAAGTTCCCCCTCCCCCTCCACAGCACCCTTTCTCTCCTCTTGGACATAAGGGGAAAAGATCCTTCCTAGAGGCTTCATTACCTTTTTCTTTTTGTTCCTCTAGGTGTTCCCTTCCCAAAGAACTTCCTTCAGATCTGCAAGAAGATCCTGTGCCGCCTTTTTCGGGTCTTCGTCCATGTCTACATCCACCACTTTGACCGGGTCATTGTGATGGGTGCGGAGGCTCACGTCAACACCTGCTACAAACACTTCTATTACTTCGTCACGGAGATGAACCTCATAGACCGCAAGGAGCTAGAGCCCTTGGTAAGTGTCTCAGCAGTACGTCACCATACACTGTGAGAACTATGGAAAGCTGGGGTCGGAAGGGGCTGTAGAATTAGACAGCGTTCGATCAGCAGAGGAGCAAGGTGCATCAAAATGTCTACTGCAATCAGATAACTGTCTTAAGTTTCTCTCCAGGAGGTGAGATAATGTGGTGACATTATTCTTATATAATGATTTGGGCCAAGGAAGCTAGATTTAATGCTTAACTCTGAAAAAAAATCATTTACTCAATTTCTTAGAGACACTTCTATTTTTTTTCCCTGAGACAGAGTTTCTCTGTGTAGCCCTGGCTGTCCTGGAACTCGATCCTGTAGACCAGGCTGGCCTCAAACTCAGAGACTCACTTGCCGCTGCCTCCCGAGTGCTAGGATTAAAGGCGTGCACTACCACTGCCCGACTGAGACACTTCTTTGATCTATCACTATTAGTCAGTGATGGTCAGATACATTTATTTTCTTAGTCAGTAAATGAACATTTCACACTCACTGTATGTCAGCTGCTAGGCACGCAAAGTTAAATTAAACTTCCAAGGACACAGAGAGAAGCTAAGGAAGAGTTCTGTGTCATAGGGAATTTGCTCTTTTTACTGACTCCCCTGGGGTGAAGCCATTGTGGGTTTATCATTTGAGATTAAGAACATTTGAGATTAAAAACATTTGAGAGTAAGCTCTAGCTTTTTATACAGATGAGTGGAGTCTGCTTATTTTATTGTTTTTAAAAGAGATTTATTTTTATTTTGTGTATGCGTGTTTCCCTGCATGTATGTTTGTGTACCATATATGCATGCAGTGCCTGTGGAGGCCAGAGGAGGGTCTCAAATCCCCTGGAACTGAAGTTGCAGGTGGTTGTGAGCTGCCGTGTGGGTGCTGGGAATCAAACCTGAGTTCTCTGAAAGAGCAACAGGTGCTCTTAACCACTGGGCTATTCCTCCATCCTCTGGGTTTATTTTCTTCAAAAGTCCCTTTCACTGTTGGCTTTACTATGTGCTTGAGAAATCAAGGACCCTCAAAACCTTTGTAACGGGTTCACTCTAATGTGGATGCTTGCCTCACAGCTGTCCCCAGTGGCACTAGTGAGTACCTGTCTATCCAATAGGATACATGGCTTTATATTAAAACCATGAGTTGTTATTTTTTTCTCTTGAGAGAGTTAAAGTGTAGTTTTGCGAAATATAGTTGGCAAAGTCAGTTTTGAACAAGTGTTTTTGAATATTGAGCAAAGTACAGAGCCCAGGTGTCCGCTCTACTGTTTACCCGTCTTTGTTTGGGTACCTGAGGTCAACAGCTCACATGACTACCACTGGAAAGACACTGTAGTATAGTCACATATCCCCACAGTAAGAGCTGAGCCCAGCTGTGTGGAGAAGCAGCAGATCACAGAGGAGCCAAGCGGGCAGAGAAACAGGCATAGGGATACTCATTTGAAGGATCTCAGTAGGCTCAGGGCACACAGGCTGTTCCAGTCCTCTGTTACCTTGCCTCACCGTCTTTGGTCTGACAGCCTAATGTGGGAGGTGGTTGGCTGTGGACTCTAGATTGACTGGTTTATATTAGCTATGTGTGAACAACTCATGAGTAAACTGTTTGCCACCTCAGGTATTAACTAGCTAGGGGCAGGACAGGGGGGTCCCTCTTGGACTTAGCAAGGTCCCAGGGATTAAAGAAGCAAAATACAATTAATCAAACAATCAATAATAAACAAACAAGCAAGCAAATAATGACATATTAGCTATACATGTACTATATAACTATTAAAGAAGATGTTGGTGAATCTTCTGTTACCTTTAGGAGTTTAATTCATGATCTACAATTGCACCATGGAATACACACCAAACAGTTTACTTTGCATACAGTTGAGATATCTCTCACATCATTGGTTAAAGAAGAGATGGTCATCTTCACTTTCTTTCCATTGGATTCTTAGAAATCTTTTGGGGACAGCCCCTGAGTTATCTCTGGGCATCATCATAGGACTCACATGGAAAGAAACTTAAAGGCATCAGTGGTGGTGGGTTTACTAGTTTGTCCTGTGCAAAGACTGCTGAGTGTAAATAACCACCACGAAGAGTGAAAGGTTGTACAAACAGCTCAGGGGAGTGTAAATACTGGAAACTGTTGATAAAGCTAATCTCCGAAAATGTCAAGGGCAGTGGAAAGAGAGGGGCCTTGCCAGTGAAGAGACACAAAGCACTGTGCTGGGCCATGGAGTCGAGTTCCCATCCAGGGTCACGCCCAGGTAAACGGGAACAAGTCCCCAAAGGCCACCAGAAGTAAGAGCTCTGCTAGACACTCACGCTTTGCATTTTGCTGAGTTGACACATAAATGTTAGCTGGATAGGGCTGGACATCAAGTTCTCCTTTATGCACAGAAGCATAAAGACTATTGTGGGGTAATGCTGGGGGCAAGTCAGCAAGGAGAGAAAGCCTTCCTTTGCCGTCTGAAACCTCACTGTTGTATTCTGTTATTGAAGAGAGGCCCCAGGAGCTGGAGTACCTGGTGGTACCAGGAGCTGCCTTGCAGTTCCAGCCTCACAGCTAGGCCCTGAACAAGCCAGCATTCTACAAAGAACTTCTTTGGGGGCCTGGGAGAAAAACATGATTATCCTCACCAGGAATTGTTAACAGTGGAAGTAACAAGAGAAGCAGTGGGTGCCCCCCAAGTTTGTACTTCTTTACCTTGTACTTAAGATTGTTTTCTTCCCACATTTATGTTTTGTTGATCACAGTGACAGGAAAATTAATTGTAATAAGTAGTAAGTAATCTTAAAATAGTTATGTAGAACTGTGTGTTTGCTTGTTTATACAAGCTCAAACCCGTAAATCACAGGATTGGATACTGTGAATGTTTCTGAGTTTAATGATCCTATGATGGCCAGGCATGGTGACAAATGCCTATAATCCCAACACTCTAGAGGCATACTCAGAAGGATGGCTGCAATGTTGAGTCTAACCTGATCTACATGGATGTTCCAGACCAGTCAGAGCTCCATAGAGAGAACCTGTCCCCAAAATAACAATAACAGGGGCTCTTCAGAGCACTGGCTATTCTTCCAGAGGACCCCGGATTGATTCCCAGCACCTTCATGGCAGCTCATAGCTGTCTGTAACACCAATTCCAGGAAATTCGACAACCTCTTCTGGCTTTTGTAGCCACTAAGTATGCACATGGTGCACAGACATATATACGCAGGGAAAATACCCAAACATACAGAATAAAACAATTTTTAAAACCCACGATCATATGATGCCAGGCCCAACTGCATATCTGGCATCACTAAGAGTGTTGTACTTGTGGATTGGCACTGATGACACTGTGCTCATTGATATTGCTGGAATTCCTGACAAACCATCTAATGTTGCAAAGCACATATTGCAATCAGCACTAGCATAATACACTTAAACTTGTCAAGTAGTTTCTTACATTTATTTATTGTGTGGGGTGTGCTTGTGTTTAGACTTGCATTTGTCTCTGTACATGCAGCTGCACACAAGTGCATGTACATGTGTGGGGGGGGCAGACAACAACTGTGGGAGTCAGTTCTCTCCTTCCATCACAGAGTCCCAGGACCGGGACATCTAGCTTGGTGGCAGAGGCCTTTACCCGATGAGCCACCTCACTGACCCAAGATCCATGTATTCTTATGTTGTGCAGTCCACTACTCCATATGTTCAAAACAAGTCGTTCAGAGATCATGTTTTATATAAGAAGGATATGTTGTAAGGGGGTAAACTTACAACACAGCCTAGAAAATACACAATGCTGAGTATCTGCTTCATCCCCGGAGGATGAATACTCAGGACTTTGCCTTCAAGTTCTGGTCATGCATTCTTCATAGGGTAATGCAGCTAGAGATCAAAGGGTAGCATTTGTTCAGCCAATTTCCTTCAAAGCAGCAGCATTGCCGGAAGTCCCCCACCATTAGTGGGCCATTCCTGGGGTCATACTTAGAATTCCACAGTGTGGAACTTGGAGCCTCACCTGGGCCTTCCCCTCCATGCATCTACCATGACAGCCACGGTCCTTTGGGTCAAGGTTCACCTGACTGCATGGGAGCAGTGCTGCCTGAGCATCTGGCACGTGGATTATCTGGAGGATCCAGGGCCCCACAAGGGTAGGAGACTCAGTACCACACAGAGCCAGCGTAAGACTCAGCCCCAGGGCTCACACCCCAAACCTTCACTTACTAACTTGTAACCTTTAACAAGATACTTAGTTTCTGAAACCATGGTTTTCCTCACCATGGAGTAACCATAATGTAATTATAAAAATTAGAGATTAGGCACACAGTAAGTACATAAGAAATGTTAGCTATTAAGTCAGATAATGAATTTACAGTAATTAGTACTCAGTAAGTAGAACAACCCGACTTCTCCCTTCCCTGGTTCTCATGGCCTTTCATCCATCCTAGTGATTCCTTAGGTGGCCTCAGAGCAAACGGACTTAATTCTATTTGTATCTGTCTCTCCCTTGGGGTTGTCAGTTCTGTGAGGGCAGCCAGTAAATAAGATGTGCACCTGAATTGTCCATGGCTTGGGACATAATAAATACTTGGTTTTTGTTTTTGTTTTTTTTTTTTATTTTGGGTAGAGTGGTTTAAGGATGATGTACCTCTGTTCAAAAGGATTATATGTAGCCGTTCCTCCTTGGTACCACCCTTCTTTCATAATTGCAACTTAGCCACTCATTTATTGGGACTAACATGTCATCCTGACTGATTTATAATAAAGATTCAAAGCAAATTAAGATGCAGAGCAGTGAAGGGATGTGTTTAAACTGTGGACCTGACTGCACATTCTCCACCCCAGATTACAGATTGATTCACCCAGGAAATGTTGAACATGCTCATACCACCTCAGTGTCCTAGTGCCGAAGACACAAGGTAGCCTGCCCTCTGTGTCTTAGCATGGGAAGTCCCATGTCCTGGGAAAACCTTGGTCTCCGGCAAACTGGGACAAATGGTCAGGCTTCTGAGTAGGAAA